TCTGCGCTGGCCCCCTTACTCCGCGCTGGCCCCCTTACTCCGCGCTGGTCCCCTTAGTCCGCAAACAATGTGCAAACAATGTTTCTGTTTTACATGAATCCCGGCAGCACAGGAGGGATCGCTGGGATGATATTTGTTGATCCGGCCTTCTTATTACAGGGGCCCTGGGCCCCCCTAAACCGTTCCTTATGTATCATTGTTCAGTCAATGGCTTGAAATGGCCGTCAGGCTCCTGTCATCACTAATCCCCCCCCTCCCCCCATGAGCTCATATTCTAAACCTGGACCAAGGGGAGGGGCCTGTCCAGGAGGGGGATTGATTAATGAGGGTCTGCGGACTAATGGGGAAAAGTAATAAAATACTAATCCATCAAATGTCATGTACAGGGGACCATTCATATAGAGTTCTATTGCAGCTGACCTCCGGCCTTCCCTTCAGTCTTCTATCTGACCTCCGGCCTTCCCTTCAGTCTTCTATCTGACCTCCGTCCTCCCCTTCAGTCTTCTATCTGACCTCCCTCCTCCCCTTCAGTCTTCTATCTGACCTCTATCCTCCCCTTCAGTCTTCTATCCGACCTCCGTCCTTTCCTTCAGTCTTCTTTCTGATCTCCGTCCTTCCCTTCAATCTTCTACCTGACCTCCTTCCTCCCCTTCAGTCTTCTATCTGACCTCCGTCCTCCCCTATTGCGGGGAATCGGAAGTGATTTTCCCCGAGGTTCCAGTAAACGAGTCCCGGGAACGACGGGCCGAATGTTTCCAGAAGTCTCACAGAATAATTATTACCTGAACACAGGAACAGCCCAAACCGCAGCCGGCCCGGAATGTTTTGGGATAACTCCCGAGAACCACAAACGGGGGAAAGAAAAAGAATTTCTACAAAAAGAAATGAAGGAAAATTTGCAAAAAGCAACAACAGCGGAGGAGGGGCGGCACCATCCGAAGAGTCCAGAAATATTTATTCTAAAAGCAACAGGTCCAATCTGTCAGTGATTGGGTCCGGGAGGTGCTGCTCGTCTATGGGGCGCCTCCAACAGTCATAGACATGTAGGGAAAAATTAAGAAGATCCGTCCACGCCCACTTCTCTTCAGTGTGCCACAGATGGTGGTGGTGAGGGGGGGGGTTACCACTGAGACCCAATAATCTGCCTCCCCTCCCCCAGTGATCAGTCTGCTGCAGGCAGAAGGAAGCATTTCCTCAGTCTCCCCTCCCCCAGTGATCAGATTGCAACATTGTAACTTTGTACAAAGTCACAAGGTGACTGACTGCAGCAGGGGCTGATCTGCGTGAGACATTTCTGAGCACAGTCACCGGGATTTACATGATCTCTGGGCCGCCATCTTAGTCCAGGAAGTAGATGGTGACCCCGGATGATGTCTGAAGAAAGATGGCGCCGTCCTTCTGGAGAGGAAAGCAGATGAAGGCATTGTCCGTGGTACTGTGATCTCTGTGAGAGGTGATAAACACCTGGAGGTGTTGGACTGACAATATTTATCATGCTGACGTCTCATATATTTGAGGATGTAAACGGATCTTTGAGCAGAAATTCTAGAGAAGAGTTTAGTTCCGGAGCGCGATCCGTCTCCCGGCACGGAAGTCTGACGGAAGGTTTCCTCTCGCGGACGGGAATGATTATTAGATAAACAACAAAGTGACAACTGAAACATTTCAGGATCACATCTTCTCCCCGGGCCAGTTTCCTTGGAAAGCGCGGTGAATGTCAGGCGGGGGGAGAATTCCGCTCGTGAGGACGCACGGCGCCGACGCACATCGCGATTGTCGTCTTATCGAAATCTCCGGAGGTAATTGTCATATTTCCAGACGGGGAGCCAATGGGGGGG